CATGTTCTCTAGTAATGAATCAAACCATGTGCTCTGATACCACTGTTGGGAAATGTGCAAGTTTTTAAAATTTTTTGAGGGATTTGCAATCACGGATCTTGATTCATCACACAGAGACAAGTTTTATGCAAAGATAAATAAAAGATGATGCATAATTCAATAAACAAATTGAATACTTACATCAAAGGTCTGAGTAAACTTTTTGAACTTTCATCTAAAGTGAATGTTCTCACTTATTGTAGATCCCTTTAGCAAGATCCTTTCTCCTTCCGTTCGATTATTATCTTCCCTTTAGGAATCACCAATATGCCTTGATGAATGACCTTGGAATCTAGTCTGGTGGTAGCCTCCTTTAGAAGAGAAAACAAAACCCTAAAATCTAGAGAGAGAAAGTGTATTCCTTTTTCTTGTTCTCCAAGTCCCCCCTAAAATATACATGAACTCATGTATATATAGGCAAAATATAAATAAGAATAAGGTAACAATAAATCATTTTCCATCTCTAATTCAACTTTCTCAATCCTAACATGACTCCAATATCAACTTGGGCTATTGGTGAGAATCCTTTTGGGCTTACTATTTTCTTGGCTCCTATAAATTAATAATTGGTCCGGTCCATTAAACCATGGACCCAATTCAATTAATTCATAAATTAATTTCTACTCCACTAAAAGAAATTAATTGCACTCCAATTAAATAGTAAATAACCTCTAAGTCAATGTTGCATTTTGACCCCTCTATGCTTAATTATTCATCGGATAATTAAAGCCATCAATCCGACAACATAATTAATATAACTATTTTGTTACCTTTGATTATTTCCGGCTCGATCACAATAAAATACTTATTTGACAAAAAATAATAATAATTTATTAAATAAATATATATAGAAAACATTTGTTTAAAACATACGAAGGCCTTCGAATTTAATTTGTGATCAACCATAATCAAAACAAAATAAATACAAATAGCACTGATGCAAATATTGAGAATATAGACCTCTAATTATTAATTACATAACTACCCAAAGTGTCGATCTAAGGATCCCGAGGTATCCGCCGAACAAATCAAAAAAAATTTTAATTAATAAAAGAGTCTATACTTCTCTCATGCTTGAGAGTCAAAAGTCATGACTGTGATAGAGAGCAATTGCATACGACAGCTCTCGCAATATATCTCAATCTATCGTGGACTTGGTTTAAGTCTTAACTAATTAAATGTCTATCCATAATTACCGACTTTAAACCATTTATGATTACTAATTTATATCATAGTATTAATTGCCATTACATACATATATAAATATATTTTGTAATCAAGCAGACACCATCAATTCCATAAAGAATCGAAAAATAATACATTCCATTCACCAATTGTATAATGCTTTAATAATAATATCCAAATAAGAAACCATGACTTTTACAATCCAAAATTAGAATTTGCTATACTAGGGCACACATATCCTAACAGAGAGATGTGTAGGAAATTAAACAAAAAACAGGAAAGGAAAAAAAGAAAAAGAAAAAGAAAAAGAAAAAGAAAGACACCTTTGTTGGGCCAACCAATACTTGAGTTTGGTATTAAAATTAATGTTTTGCTTTGATTTTTACATAATTCTCCCGAGACTAGTGTACTTGGTTGAAGAAGGTAGAGTTGGGGCAATGGAACAAAGACTGGCTTGGAAGACCATGCATGCTAGTCTTTGGCAGCACTGGAACACTTCAGATAATTCAAAAATTATGACCCTCTTTTTTGTTCTCTTTTTCGCAAAAGTAGTTTTAATATGATCGATCACTACCCCACCACGGAATACCAGGATTTCTTTATATATATTCTAAAATCTATCCATATTTATGATCTAATTTAGACTTACACCCTAAATGGGATCCTTCGCGTGTACTTTGCACATGGTAGGATCCTCTATTCTCTGAGTAAAATTAGTAGATGAAGTAATGTAACATGCACCAATAAGTTTTTATCTGTCCATGAATCACAGTAATCTAAATTATTCAAATAACATGGAAAATACTTTTAAGACAGAAGAAGTTAATCTAAATGTTTAGTAGAAGATTTTTTTGATTGAATAGATATGCAAAATATAAAAAGTGGAATCCATACTTCTTTATATTTGGCCAATAAACCCAATTACCTTTCTACTCCCAAAGAAAAATTAGTCATGTGGTGGGGTCAATGATGGAAAGCTGAGGCTTTTCACACGGATAGATCAAGGATGAGTTTTGACATGCACTAAAACTTTGAACCACCGCGGGGCCATGTATTTGTCCAAATGAATTGAGCTTTTCCCTTCAAAATATAATAGGTGATTTGAGTCTTAAATGGGGCAGGTACTTTTTCAACTTCAAGAAAGAGCTTTTCCCTTCAAAATAGAATTAGGTGATTTGAGTCTTAAATGGGGCAGGTATTTTTTCAACTTTAAAATATATATATATATATATATATATATATATATAATAATAATAATAATTAAAAGAGTAATAATAATACTTGTATTGAATTGTTGCACCTAATATTTTTGATTGATTATTTATACATAATACATGTAAATGGGGGCTCTACTTCTTTATTTATGCATAAATGGATCGATTAAAAGAAATAGGCCTGACAAATCATTACAACAAATCGCATAAATAAAGAAGTGGGCCCTCCAATTACATGTACTATGTATAAATAACCAATCAAAAACATTCGGTGTAACAAATCGGTGCAAGTATCATTACTCTAAATAAAATTAAGAAAATGAGTTATGGAAGATTGAATTTTTCATCTTATGCTTTAGAATGATTGAGCTATAACTAAACCACTGTGTAAAAATATGATATTATAAAAGGGTTGTATAATCCTTGAAGTAGGGGTGAATAGAAATTGAGGTTAAAGAAAATAAAATCAAAGATGATAATTTTGAAGCTACCGATGAGGAGAAGAGGGCATACATTTTGGGAAGAAGACCTCTTGAAATGGAAGTCATTTTTTATGGATTTTTTTTTGTGACTCGGAGAAAACTATCATTTTTTTTTTTTCTAATTGGTACTCACACACTCCATTCCATAAGAAAACTACTACGTATCATTTTGGTTTCTTAATTTCTTCAACAGTTGACTTTGAAAGTGAGCTCAAATCGTTCGGTCTTTTAATATATACCCAATTTGAAGTTTGATCTTCCCCATGAGCCTAATTTACTTCTTATAATTTCTTTTGCGTTGTAGTTCTATGGAAGCTTCAGATAACTGCTTCTTGACGTTTGATACTTCAAACTAATGTCAAGTATTTAATGTAAAAGGAAGGGAAAAACAGAAGAAATAGAATAACTTAATTTGTCCAGACAAAAACCAGGACTCATTTTCACCAAGCATGATAGTCAAGCTTAACAGCTAATAATACAAAAAACAACAAATTATGTCTCTGTAGTGCATGCATGAAGGGTTTTTGAAAGGAGATTCAATACCAAAACCGGCTTTAAGTGTCTTTCTTTTTAACCACTTGGTTAAGAACTTGGCCATCATCTTCATTGTTATCGTCATCGTCATCATCTCTACTAATATCTGCATACTCCTCGAGTGATGCAGCTGTGAATAAACTCCCCAACCTTACTTTCATTATTTGTTGGGGGTTTTGCTGAAGTGTGAGATTTTCCTTTATTCATCTGTCACATTAAAATAATGATGACGACTCGAGAAAAAGGAAGACAGAGCAGATAAATACCAGTAAAATAATGATGCAACAAAATTACAAGTGAGCTGCTTTTGCCAGAGTAGAAGCAGGTAGCACAAATCTAACCATGACAAGAAATGTAATAGGATTCAATTTAGTTATATAGCTGATGATCCATGCGTTGGAAATTAGGACTTTGTCAGCCTCAAGTTGTCTAAAGCTGCCAAATACTAGAATGGCCTTCCTTAGACTTTTCCAAGTCGTCCGAGTCTTTGTTCTGTTGCCCCACTATCCACCATCTTAACTCTACCCCCACGCACTTTTCAATTTGCTTAGAAAGTTGCAGCAAAATTTCATTGCTTCACAATCATTTAGGAGACCAAGATATTTGGTTCTAAATACCTGCAAGAAAGAGATGGTGCAAGAATGACCCGCGCATTTTGATCCTTGAACTTAATTTCATTACTGCAAAAGCAGGGTTTGAATATATATATATATATATATATATATATATATATATATATATATATATATTTAATGCGTTTTGCTGCAGCATAATTCAGAAGACCTCTGGACTGGCTGCTTCGATCTGGTAATCAAGCTGTCTCTATTCAACAATGTTAGAACATTTTGATGAGTTAAAGCAACTGCCGTGAAATAATAGCAAATGGCAAGGTTTCGTTTCCATTTATTTTTAAACAGTGTGGCTTTTGGAAATCTTGGAAACTCTTATCGATTTTCTGAAACACCAGAGAAAAATAGCTCAATCACCAAATTTATCCATCTTTGGCACCACCCTCCACAGAGCATAAGATGTTCAATTTCCTCAGGCTCACTGAAATCTTCCTCTACATTGCTCGTTTCATTCCCAACCGCAGGTGCATTGCTATAGAATCCTGAGAGACTATCTGCAAGCTTGTCACATGATACAGCAATTCCTAGTTATGTATGCTCATTGTGAAGCTGCTCTAACAGGACTCAATCTCAGTTGGGTTTGCAAATGAGAGATCTGGTTTTGGAGTGAATAAGGTAAAGCGATTTGGAGATGGGAGCCAGTTGAAGTAGGGGTGAAAAGAAATTGAAGGTAAAAGAAAATAGAACCAAAGATGATAATTGTGAAGATACCAATGAGGAGAAGAGGGCATACATTTTGGGAAGAAGACCTCCTGGAAATGGAAGCCATTTTGATGGATTGGTGGATGCAAAATTATAAAATGTTACTTCATTCTTTCTCCAACAATTTCATCCCATCTGCAATAAATAGTTCGAAAATAAAAAAATTCCCAGAAGAAACTCATATCAATTACAGTAAGTATTAATGGAAAAGGAAGGGAAAAACAGAAGAAATTGGATAACTTAAATTGTCCAGACAAAAAACCAGGACTCATTTTCGCTAAGCATGCTATTCAAGCTAAACTGTTAATACAAAAAACAACAAATTAATGTCTCTGTAGTGCATGTATGAAGGGTTTTGAAGGGAGATTCACTACCAAATCCGGCTTTAAGTGTCAATTAAACCACTCAGTTAAGAACTTGGCCATGCCACTTAGTTAAGAACTTGGCCATTGTCTTCGTTGTTATTGTCATCTTCGTCATCTCTACTAAACTCTGCATACTCCTCGAGTGATGCAGCTGTGAATAATTCCCCAACCTTACTTTCATTATTTGTTGGGGTTTTTGCTGAAGTCTGAGATTTTCCTTTATTCATCTGTCGCATTAAAATTATGATGAGGACTCAGAAAACAGAAGACAGAGCAAATAAATACCAGTAAAATAATGATGCAACAAAATTACAAGTGAACTTCTTTTGCCAAAGTAGAAGCAGGTAGCCCAAATCTAACCATGACAAGAAATGTAATGGGATTTAATTTAGTTATATAGCTGATCCATGCGGAAAACCTTAGTGATACTCACAATTACAACTGAAGCAGTTTGATCCGTGTTGAAAAGAAAAAGCCGCTTAAGATGAAAAATACATAACCAGAAAAACACAAACAAATTGGATGCAATTCAGATGCAACAATATATGATATGTGACAGTGAATACTACTTCAAACTAGAGAACACAACTCATACATGAAAGACCTATAAATTTTTTTTCCAAAAATAATAATAATCATACATGAAAGTTTGTTCCAGAGTTTACTAACAAGTTTAAGTTCATAAGCTTCAAATAAAAAGAGGTCTTAAACGGTAGGTAATTCTTTCCCACATAAACAATATGAATATGTACATCTGAATAGTCTGAATAGCTTACTCCATCAGGATATATAATAAAAGCCACTTTGCACCAATGAGGCAAATCACAATATATGGACCGACATTACTTGCATAAAGTGGCTGCTTCAAATTTGAATATTAGGGTGTATAAATTATATTATGTTAGAATATATATTCTCGAAGCAGAGCTTTTAGAAAGCTCGATAAGATGAATATCTCTAATAATTTGCTTTACCAACCCAATGAACAATTGTTGTAATGTCCATGGACATGGAGGAGTTGGAACATGTCAAGTCTCTCACTGCCTATGCATATCTTAAATTTTTTTTAGCAAAACTACAAAATCAGTCTTAATCTTTATGTACATTACCCAACAACTTCTATTGTCACCAGCATGATGACTAACCCTGCACCAAAATATCTGTTTATGACAGAACTTGAAAAAATCATCTACTTTCCTCAATAATTTCATCCATGCAAGAGAGATTTATCCGCCTCCATTATCAATTGAAGTGCACTAAAGCAAGCCAATTTTGTTTTTCTCAGATTCACTAAGTGAACACCCCCAAATATTCCCCCCCCCCCCCCCCCAGGGAATAAGAGAAACTCCACTATAAGTATTTTCAAGTCCAGTTGTTAAGCCACTGCAATATCTAGCCATTTCAAAAGATAGTATTGAAGCAGAAATCTTGAGAATGGAAATGTGGAATCCACAGAGGATTGGCTTCCGCAGTTACGAGCTGTATATTCTCAACAATGAGGTCAAAGACTCAAAGGAGAACATAAATACAATCTCCAACATATGAGAATGGCTATAAAGGAAGAAGCCTACTGTGAAAACCTACTGAAACAATTTTCCTTTTCTGGATAAATATGACAGAACACTCAAACAATCGTCCTATTCAAACCTGGAAACTAGCTCCGTAATCATATCATTTAGATGGTGCGTTATGCAAGTTTTAGCTATATTTCCAGGACCATGTGCCAATGATTCCAAAAAGATTCATAATTCAATAGATATATCAGCAAAGAATGTGTTCGCATTTTAGCTAGCTTCTTCTGCCGTATCTGACTCAGTAAGCCAAAGCTAGCTTCTCAGGAATGCATTCTTAACTCAATTCACTCTTTCTCGCATAGCCATTCATCCAACTAAATTTCCTCATTCAATTTGTGATAATATTAGGTGCAGGTCATTTTCTTTTTCCCTGGCAATATATAACATAGTCGGCTTTGCAACTATTGTTTAAGGTAAAATTACATAGAATAAAAGATGATGATCTTCCACTGATTTATAAAGGTCCAAGCATGGAGTTATTTCTATAGTTATTTCAGCATCTTAGCATGATTTTTAAATATAACAAGAGCAAATCTTTCGTTGAAATAATGTAGGAAGATAACCGAATGGTAATTTGTTAATTAATATTGCCACCTAAATTAATAGACAATGAAACAACATCCACCACAACTACAAAGCTCTAACTACAGTGACTGTTAGAATACTCTAAAACATGTGAGCATGAACAAATAAATTTAGGACCACGGCATGGTTAAAAAAGGGTTGGCAAGGTAGGAATTTCTACATCAACTGTCCCCATTATATGTAAAGAACAAAGACTATATCTCACAATTTCCTCTAAAAGCTTACTTTTCCCTTATGTTCCCAATAATCCTTTAACTAATTTGAATCAAACCAAGACAAAAAAAAAAAAGGTTTCCAATTAAAAAAGAAAAAAGACAAAAAGGAGAGCTATCTTTGCAGCAAGTGAAGAGAAAGGATTTAGGAATCTTACAGCACGCAGTAAAGATCTCCTATCCCTCTCCCGAGCATTCTTAATGGCCTACAGTAAATCACCAATGCCATTAGCTTACATTACAAAATTAAACCAGCACTTGTCTTACAGGTTATAGAAAATGCGAATGAAGGCATGATATTAAAAATAAACCTCCTCAAGCATCTTCTTCTCAGCCTCCACTTCTGAACAGTCCCTGAATAGAAATAACACACCCACTTTTAGATGATTTCAAGCACATATGGAACTGTAACAATTCTTTGTGATTAATCTTTCAAGTTCAGAATGAAAGTATTGAAATATACATTTGAAAATCACACACACCTTCCAATTATACTACCAACACGGCAAGAACACTTGGCGCACACATTTTGTTCCTTAGCACAAGCTACATCAATCATCAATGTAATGAGTAAAAAAAAAAAATCTAAAAGAAGTAATTCTATGAGTTTTTTTTTGGAAAGTACGTAATTCTATGAGTTGCATCCAAACAAATAGGACACGAAATTAAGAATTAAAATGAAGCTAACCCGTGCACAGATTGTGGTAAGCTTGACGAACGTTACGTTTGGAGCATCGTTGACTGTGAAATTCAATTCAATTCAAATTTGATTCAGTAAAAATACAATTAATTGAAACACTCACAGTGACATCGAGAATTGAATGAAAACAACTATTAATGGATGAATATACCATTTGGCAGGCTCAACGAGGGGTTTGTATTTTCCGTACTTGCGCTTCCATTCGATCTGTTCTTTACAACGAGGGCACACCCCCGTTACCTCCGACAGCGGCCTAAACCTTCCTCCAACTTCCTGTAATGATATATATATATACACACACACACATGAATACAAATAGGTAGTACTAATTCATTGCAATCGAAGATTTAGAGAGAACGCTTATGCTCTAGAGAGAGAAGTACGGTTTCGTTGATCTTGATACCGGCGTGGGGCTTCCATGCGTACTTGTTTTGGTGCTTCGGCGGACCTTGCTTGCTCATCTTTGCTCCTGGCTTCTGATTCCAACGAAATACAATACTGCCATGACCTAATATTATTAGTTATGCGAGAAATAAATAAATAATAAAAAGAAAGAGGATATTAAACTGTTCCTTGTGTAATACTAAATTACTAATGTTTTTTTTTTTTTTTTTGGATAAATAAAACTAAATTACTAATGTTGGTAAGGAGTGATGACAAAATCTCCAACTCGGTGCGTCCCGTCCTATTTAGGTTAGTTTTTTTTTTTTTTTAAGATAATTGACACACACCTCCCTTGTGATTTGTGATAATTACAGATGGTATCTTTCTTGTTTCAGAAATTACGCGAATCTCCCTTTTGTTAGAGTCAACCATAGTCAACGACGGAAAATGATGACATTGACTATTTTTCATGAAATACCGAAAATACCCTTACTTATATTATTTTATATTATATATAATTTTGACATATAATTTTGGTATCAGAGCCATGATGGCTTAAATTCTTATTGTTAATGTTTTTCGGTTCTGGTAGCATGATTATTATCGTAATTATGTACCGAACAATATGAATATTATTCTGTCCAAATTATGTTTATCCCAGATTCAATTATGGGTCGTCCAAAAGTCGCGTTGGAATGTTTAACCCGTTTTTGCATTAAATTGCTGCATAGGGTATTGTTTCCAGTAAATCGTTGACAGACGAGTAATAGAATCTCTCTTAAGCAGAACGACGACAGAATAGTAACTTACTGTTCACTATATAATATTATAATATTTAGACTGCTCAGACCTTAAAGCATTAACAATAATTAACAGACATGTTACAACCATCTTCGTCCTCTTCTTCAGGACTACAGGACAACCAGGACTCAGAACTGGTAAAAAATACTGAAGTAGTGGAATGGACCAATGTTCAAAATAAATTGAACAGATGGACTATCCCTCCAGTAAGTGCAAAAAGCATTTACAAAATCGGAATGCTTAATTTAGCTGATCTATGGACTATCAAGACCATGGAACAGACCATGCAATTAAGCACTAAGGATACAATAATTAAGTTATTGTCTTCCCGTGACCTTCAGAGGCACATGCATAAATACAAGTACATCCATATAGGTTTAATTCAAATTGCTTTTAAACCTTTAACCTTGTTAGGTATGGATGCCTGTATTCAAGCAACCCTTAGGGATGCTAGATGTCTGAAATTTCACCCTTCATTGATGGGTGCACTGGAAACCAGTCTATGTCATGGACCGGTTTATTTTAATGTCTATCCTAGTCTGAATTCATCTTTAACAGATAAAAATATCCATGAGGCAGTTAGTCTTCGGGTTCAGACTTATGGATATGATTACTTACCTGGATCGGAAGTGATAAGTGTTATTTATCGCATCCATTACAAAGTACTTGATACTATGTGTCCCAATGCCATACGCAAAGACTCTAAAGGAGTAACAGCGTTATGGGATACCAACATGTACACATCAAATGTTGCCACAAAAAGGATGATTCCTTGGAATGAGATAACATTTCCTGAACATTGGACGATTTCTAATGCCGTCCCAGCACAGCCAATTGCCAATCATAGCTTAGACTGTGTTATTCAGGACCAAGATGGTGATGTTTTTCTGAACTTCAGAAAATCCATAGATCTATCCAGATCTACATCATCTAAAGGAAGTCATCTTCCTTATCATGTTTCTTGTCCTCCTTCTCGACATTCGATCTCATCAGATTACCGTAAGGAAGGACTCCCTGAAGCAGTTGATTCCAAGCTTAAGCTGAAAGGAATACAACAATCTCAGAATCAAATTCCAAGAGGAGTATATGAGAAAGCACCAATAGGTATGTCTCGTCGCCAATTTGGAATTGAATTCAGCCCAACTCCATCTGAAATGGGAATCGGAAATGAATCTGTCATGGATCAGTTTGAAGATCCCACAGACATCAATGACCCTCATGAATATTAGTTTTAATGGATTTTGTCCCTGATAGAATTGCCATTAATACTGAATTTCAACAGGATCAATATAAAGAATTCAGAAATTGGTATTTCAAAAGTTTTGACCATCAATTATAACTTTTTAAAACCCAATTTTATGACTTTCTACAAGAACGCAAAATGGTTATACCTTTTGTTTCTTGGTTCTACATGACCAATCATTCTCTTGTTAATATCAACATATTGGATGATTTCCTCAAACCATGGACCACATCTGAAGATAAGGTTTTCCACTATGTCCATCCTCCCCCTGAACATTTAATTCTGAAAAGAATTGACCCTGACAGTGGTTCTAAAGTGGAAACCAAGGCTTATAGCCAACCTAGAGTAATTTATCCATCCTGTAATGCTACTAAAAAGGACATTACTCATGTTTACAGGCAGAACAATTATACTAATGTTTGCCTACAAACGATAGGGTCCCAGCTTGGGAGAATTGAAACAGGAATAGACACGGTCTTAAATACAATTAATACTAAGTGTATTTCTGTAAAAACTTCTCCTCCAGAAGCTTCCTTATCCAAAGCATTGGTGAAACCTGCAATTGAAGTTCAAGGCTTCAATCTGACACATCCTAAGAAGAATGAAGAATTTCTTACTCTTCTTACTCAGAAAATTCAAGGACTCAAAATTCAGACTTTATCCCATGATGAATCTGAAATTGGTTCTGATTCTGAAAATGTGTTACCTCATATTGAGGTATTCCAAAATGATTTTACTCAGCTGCCTGAGTTCAACAGAATTGTCTATGATAAGAATATCCACTCTAATACCGCTCCTGCTCCGAGTCGATATTATTATCCTAGACCCACACCTCAAGATATCTTGTATGAAGAAGATTATTTTCATACACAGAAATCTTTTCATGGCAAGACCATTTATGAATGGAACATAGATGGTAAATCTGATTATCAGATTTACGAGGTTATTCATCAAATATTGATGTATAGCCAAGTTTGTAAAATCAACCACAATACTGACCCAACCATTGCTAAGTTTGTCGTTGCTGGTTTTACAGGAATCCTTAAAGGATGGTGGGATAATGTTCTCACTGACATTCAGAAAGCTGAAATCTTTTCTGCAACCAAGATTGTTAAAGATGAAGCTACTCAACAATCAGGCCCTGCTCCTGATGCGGTTTACACACTCATTACCACTATTATCCAACATTTTGTTGGCCCTGAAGGTGCTAATAGTGAACGGAGTCGTGAACTTCTACAAAATCTAAGATGTCCATCTTTAACTCATTTCCGGTGGTATAAAGATGTATTCTTGGCAAAGGTTCTCCAACTCAATGATGCAAATCATGAGCACTGGAAAGCTAAATTTGTAGATGGTTTACCAACCTTCTTTGCTGAAAGAATCAGGAAAAAGCTTAGAGATATGAATAATGGTATCTCTATCCCTTACAGAAACTATACCTATAGTGGATTAGTCAACATTGTAATCCAGGAAGGTCTAGCTCTCTGTAATGATCTGAAGTTACAATCCCAGTTAAAATCCCAAAGATTAACTGGTCGAAAGGAAGTAGGTGAATTTTGTGATCAATTTGCCTACCAGACTCCCTTATCTTATCCTAAACCTAGGAAAAGAAATAAGGTTGAAAAACCTTATAAAAGGAAGTATTCCAAACGAAAGAATTATTCAAAGGAAAAGGATAATTCTAGACAGTATACTAAGCCTAAAAGGAAATATACTCCTAAAGCAAAGGGTAAAGGAAAGCCCAAAGCTGAGGCTAAATGTTTCAAATGTGGACGTATTGGCCACTATGCAAACAAATGTAGAACTAAGGAGAAACTCAGTAGTCTTCACATAGAAGAGGAACTGAGACTTCAATTAAGTAAATTGTTACTTAATACTAGTTCTTCTGAACCAGAATCATCAAGTGATTACGGAGATGTTGTCATGGAATTACAGTCTTCTTCTTCCTCTGAAGCAGAGATTGAAAACCCTAGATGTTCCTGTAATCCTTCGCATGATGATTATTATAAGGCAATTGTTGAGATGAATGGGTTAAGCTTAAATGTTTTAACTTCAACTCAACAATCCTTATTGGATCTTATAGATCATATCCAGGATCCTCAAATCAAGATGAAAGTCTTTGAAATAGGTTCTGCTCTGGCAAGATCTAATGAGGATACGGATAATCCAGATTTTCTGCGAGCAGAAAATCATTACAGCATGAAAGAAGTTCTAAGCAGATTAGAACACCAAGGACAAAATTCTCGTCCTGCTAATCTCCCTGATCTTAAAATGGAGATTAACCTTTTAAAAGAAGAAATTCGTCAATTAAAGTCTCGTCAGACTACGATGGATTTAGAAATTACTCTTTTAAAAGCAAAATCTGCAATTCCATCTTCATCATCCAATGATGAAGTTCCTCAATCAGAAGGTACTAATTATCTTCAACTCTTGAATCAAGTTACTTACCAAAAATGGTATATATCTATCAATTTGGTAATTAATCAGGAGTATACAATCACTAATGCAATTGCCTTAGTTGATAGTGGTGCAGACATGAACTGCATACAGGAAGGATTGGTTCCTACTCAATATTTTGAGAAAACCACTCAAGGTCTTACCAGTGCAAGTGGAGGTAAGATGCAGATTAAGTATAAACTTAATCATGTTTTCATTTGTAAAGAAGGTATTTGTCTACCATCTACTTTCTTACTCATCAGAAACATGGCACAACAAGTTATTTTGGGCACTCCCTTCTTAGCTTTGATTATGCCAATTGGGAAAATTGATTCTCATGGAATATGCTCTACTTTACATGGCCAGTCAATTACTTTCCAGTTCTTGACCCCACCAGTAAATAAGCATATCAATGCTCTTAAAGATAACATTATCTTTAAGGAAAAGCAACTGAATTATTTGCAAAAGGAGGTATCCTCCTTAGCAATTAATCAAAGATTGGTACAACCCACTGAGCAACAGAAAATTGAGTCACTACGGCAACACTTTCTAAAGGAAATCTGTAGTGAGATTCCTAATGCTTTTTGGGCCAGAAAGAAGCATATTGTTTCTTTACCCTATGAAAAGGGGTTTACCGATAGCATGATTCCTTCTAAAGCTAGTCCCAGC